AGGTTGGAGTAAATTATATGTTCTAACATTTTACAAGGAACACTGGTTAGGGAAATTGGTCTGTAATTGAGTACTCAGAATTATTCTCATGGGCTTAGAAGATCCTTTACAATAATGACGATAAAGTTCTGAGCGTAACAACTTGAACTGCAGCAGCGCTGTACGCTTTTACTGGCATACATATCCTGCGTACACAGTTTCTTGCCCGTACCATCTATAGTGGATGTGTGGGATCGAAGCCGCAACGACCGGAGGAGACGAGTTAGGAGTGGCATGGGCACGTGCTGGGAGCGGTTTGCGTTTATGGGCTGTACGTTGAAGTGAACTGTACAGTGATAGATCGAGCAGGATCGCAGTAAGTCGTGCACTATTTCCGATAGAAAACAGCGTCCTCGCTCAGTTATCGGCTGGGTAGAAGCTCCATCACGGCAATCAAACAAGGTGTGGCTGGTTGAAACCACGTTACCAATACTGGTATTGGAAGATTTCCAATTGACGGCTAACACAAGTTCAAGTCAGTCCGCTATAAGTCTTCCCTTGACCTGTGTCAGTGGAGGGACCTGAAAGAGAAAAAATCGCAAATGGTGTGTTTTAGATGTAATCACCATGGCTTCTCCAAGATCTTCTTGGTGAACCTGGGCAGTTCTTTTAAAAAGAATTCTACAAATTCCTTTTGTTGTGGGCCTATGATTAGTATTTTGGAAAGAAACTTCAGCCGTAGCCCACTTAGTTCTTATAGCTTGGAGAACGTTAACACGTCTATGTGAAAGGTCTTTTAAAGTAGGCAATAGAGTTTATCACTTTAAAATGCTTCAGTTATTCGACGCGGTTAACAGAGCTGAAGTGATCAGCGGGAGCCGAGACCATGCGATTCATTGTCTGGAAATGCATTTGTGACTTCGTACAGAAAAAAAAAGAAGCATCGTAACCACTTGGGCTTCTCGAAGGCGTTTAAAAAAACCTAATAACGACGTGATACGATGTGGGGTCTCACTTCCCTAAACGACCATATATCACGAGGGACGCCGTAATGAGGGCCCCCGAAACATCGACGTCCTGGTGTTATTTAACGTTCACTGACGTAGCACACTACAAGGGTCTTTGCCAGTTCGCCTCATTGAAATGCGACCGCCGTGGCCGAAATTGAAGCTGCCACCTTCCAATCAGCAGCCACTGCTTTACCATGGCGGACATCAAAAAAGTGTACTTGAGGTAATTGGAAAGTAAGGTCAACCATTCCTCCCAGAAGTGTCCATGATAAAAAAAAAATAGACAGCGTACAAAGAATTAGGATGCGTGCACAGTTGGCCTCCACTAGAACATAATTCATATACACCTGGCGTAGCAGCGACGATATCAATCGGGTAATAACAGGCCCATCGCCGACCTGTCGGAGGCGGAGTTTGTTCCTGAGCGAAGCTAACTTTATAGGCGGGTACCTCTTTCACTCTCATTTGTACGCCGCATGGTGTACAGGTTTAAACGATAGCCATCTTACTTGCAATACGAAGTGAGTCTCTTGATAGCAAGACTTCAAGACTATGCCCCGCTTATCTCCATGCACGACTGTATTGACCGAAGCCTAAGTGACAAAGGGTTGTAAAGCTTCACTTGAATTACAATAGGCTATACCGAATATTATTGTTGCGACCACCACCACCACAAAGGCCTTGGCGTTGTCACTACGCACACGCTTCATCCGCTTTATACCGTGTATCGCTATATACTAACGCCTTGTGACGCCCCGAAAGGATTCTATATAGTGAGCTAGTTGCAAATGTTTCGAATAACGTTTTTTTGTAGATTATCTATGAACTGCAACATTTTTTATTCTTTCCACTTGCCATCCTTGGTAAAATTAAATGGCTTTCTTATACCAGCATTTTTCTTCCTGTTTGTTGGAAATAAACACAGAGACGGTCAAACTTTAAAGAATTTTTTTTTGTAGTTTCTGTTAACGGCCTCGAAATAATATCTTCGAATACTCCAATAGCTCACTGTAAGTCACTTATTGTGCCCCGCCGTGCTGGTCTAGTGGCTAAGGCACTCGGCTGCTGACCCGCAGGTCGCGGGATCGAATCTCGGCTGCGTCGGCTGCGTTCTCGACGGAGGCGAAAATGCTGTAGGCCCGTGTGCTCACATTTGAGTGCACGGTAAAGAACCCCAAGTGGCCGAATTTTCTGAAGCCCTCCACAACGCGTCTATCATAATCATATGGTGGTTTCGGGACGTTAAACCCTACATATATATCAAGGCATTTATTGCTTGCATATATCACGCATTTTTCTTTGGCCTTATTGTCAGACCTTTGGGTAACTTTCTTGCAGGGAGAGCCCATTCTGCGCATTACGTCTTTAATGCATGAGTCCAATGCACAACTTGACATTGAGAAGAACGCGCACACGTTTTCTTCCCACCAATATAAAAGCAGCGCGCAAGCAAAATACACTCAACAATTTTTTTTTCGGGATGGTTACATCGTTTCAGCGAGCCAATGTTATATATATATGAGACTAGCGTGCTACAACGCCTGCCGCGTAGACAAGTTGGGATCGTTTCTTGCAGGAGACATACTCGCACGTCGTGATCCGAAGCGTGTGGCAGCCACAACAGAAACAAACATTGAGACAAAGGAACGAGTTTGTTTGCAACCCACGAAAGAAGCGGTACAAGCGAGCGAAAAAGACCTCACTTCGCACGTATTCAGCTTGGAACACCACGTGATGCCGGGAAAGACAACAAAGCACGGCGGCACCATCGTGGAAATATGGACGGGCTGAAATCCTCGTTGCGTAACTATGCCGAGGAACCGCTATGTCGTCGATCGAGGTGAAAGGGAACACCACGCGATAGCACTCGCATTGCAGAGGTGTTTCCCTCCGTGCAAGGAAAGTGGTTTCCTGGCGCGCGTCTTGCTATCTGAGTGGGGCCGGCCCCTGGCCGATGAATTCTAGGCAGAGAAGGTGACCGGGAAAGGACGTCCGCCTGCGGGTATCGTACGGAAAACGCACTGCTCGCGCTAGACGACAAATGAAACGCGTTAACCACTCCTTTTCTGCGCCGGTTCATCTTCTTCTGCTGCTTTCTGTCTTTTTTTTAAGTATGAATGAGCGATGCCACCGGAGCACGTGTACAATGGCACGCGCGAGGAATATGACTCGGCTCGAGTGCGTTATTCATCACGGGTCCCGCTGAGTGGGCCAGCGAACTCCAGCGTATTTACTCTTGCGGACGCCGCCAAACACTGCACGCGCGTCAGCCAGTGTTTGTTTGTGCCGAAGGGCGCGTGCATATCTCGGCGCCAATCAAAGTGGAGCTTGGTCGTTGGCGCCGTCGCCTCGTCACACTCGCGCGCCAGCGCAGTTTTGCATAGTGGGCGCCTGTGGCTGGTTTCGTTTGCGCGTTCGCACTGTTGCGCGCGTAGTTCTGGGTCGATTCTAGTGCCGGCCGTCGTCTTGGCAGAGACTCCGCTATTTTGTTTAATGAAACGAGCCATAATTGTATGAAAGGAGGAGAAAGATGGACCATTGGAAGGTTACCGAGTCGCAGATTGCACGCAGTTGTTATCGTTAAGGATCTCCCGTTCACTTTCCCGTGTTGTCTGCGCCAGCGCTGCATCAGCGCAGTAGTATAGACCTCGATGTGATGTACTCAATCTTACACATCATTGCCGTATTTTGGTTCTAGTTTGAATACTTCACCGATGTCACTTCTGTGTGGCGAAAAAGTCGTTGAGTTTGTTTTCCTTCATGAAGGAAGTAAATTGATAAACGTGAACAACGTACATTGCATCTTCCGATTTTTGTTCAAACCGAGAACAAAAACTCTGTAAGGAGAAGCTGTCAACAATCAAGGCCACTTCGTGTTGGCCACTGTTGGAGCGTGTTTTAACTGACTTGATACTTGGAAGCTACGAGACATAATTCATTGTGCTTTACAATTTGTCTGGATAGGCCAGGACCTAAGGTCATCCTATTTGCTGCCTCGTGTGTTTTTAGCCATTATAAAAAAAATATCCGGTTGACATGGCAGTCACCAGCCATCATTTTTTATTATTATTTACATATCTGGTAGATTCTGAAATTATTATTGATAGAGTATTGGCAATTATTATTGAATCAGTTTAATATATTCACTTAACTTCAATCTACTTCTCTTAGTAAACTATGACCTTGTATAATCCCTCTCAATCTGACCGTAGTGCAAAAATCGCTCTTAGGTGTTTTGTTATCTTACATCTCACCTACATATCTTCAGTGCCCTGATCCTATGCCGTAGTGCAGAATAGGGATCCGGATCATGTACCTATTGAAAATTCCGGCCTTTCTTCTACTGTCTTCTTTATTATGTGTACACGCATTTGTAATACTAAATAATAACTGTCGGGATTTAACGTCTCAAGCCACCTTATGATTATCAGAGACGCCGTAGTGGAGGGCTCCGAAAATTTTTACCACCTGGGTTCTTCAACGTGCACCTACATCTAGGCACACGGGCCTCAAGCATTTTCGCCTCTATCGAAAATCCAGCCGCCGCGGCCGGGTTTTTTAACCCGCGACCTGCGGGTTCGACCTAGTTGAATAAAACCCACAGAAAGGTTATATTAACGGCATGTTTTCGCTTATTGACGAAGTTCAAGCAGCGTAATAAAATAACAACTAAACAGACTTCTTCGTGAGAGCAACGTCTAACCGTTTAGGTTGGTTGACTCACTCTTACACAAAATCGCACCCAACCAGAAGCTTACTGTGGTTACGAACGAGGTGCTTTATAAATTCAGTGGTAATGAATTTTCTTCTATGCAAACGCAATAATAAGCACAATTCACGCTGTGGCGCAAAGAGTAACGTGGTTGGAGAAAGTGCAAGGCGTAACACACTACTAGCATTTTTAAGCGAACTAACTATACACTGGTGAACAAAGTAAACATCTATGTTTATTCAATGAAGCAATGTCGCATGTCAGAAAAAGATCCACGAAGTAAAGCACAGCGACTCTGCTTCTTTTCGTCAAATATTTATTCATTCCTTTTCTTGCACCTCCCTCTTGAAGGAACGAAGATAAACGTCCTAACAGCAGAAGTTTGTGAGAATGAAGACTTCATTGAAGAACTGGCGAAGTATTTGTACTTATGTGTCCTCGAGTACAGCACGTTTGCGCAGAACCACATAAGAATAGCCATCAAATAAACTAGAAAAACATGGCCCAAACAATTTTTGTGAAATATCTGGGCTCTAGGCTGTAGCGAAGAAAGTGTGAAGACTAGTTCAGGTAATGAGATGAAGCTGCACCCAGGTCACGTGCAGATAATGAGATGAATGAAAAGTTGGATTTGTAACAATGAATTGTGTTAATAAACTTCATGAAAAAGGTGATAGGTAAATCGATTATCAAGAAACACAAGGCAGCTTCAGACCTTGCACAAAGGTTAAGCAAACCGCTGTTTTAGCTTTATAAGGTGCTGTTCTCGTTGATGCTTTTTTGAGGGTCTCTGCGCCAGACAAGGCAACATGGGACAGTGGTTTACAGTGATTTAGGGCATTGAAGTTAAGCAAAATGTACTAAGCGTGTTGCTGTTCAGTGTTAGTAGCGCGTCAGTGTATCGTCAGCTTCTGAAGTTTTTGCGACAGAGCTATAAATAATGTACAATGAAGTGTAAGTGCTTGTTATTGAATGGAGGTTCTGCGATCCTGCTAATATGTTGTTTAAGTTTATGAATGATGTGTTCTACAGCCAAAAGATATGTTAGACTAGGGGTAAGCAGAAATAGGCATACTTTTCAAATGAAAAGCACGCTCTTACTAGGTATAAATATTTTATAAGCCACATGAGAGTTACAATGTCTGAAGCAATCACCACGTATTTGGATAGATAGCAGAAGAATCATATAAAAGCTTCTTCTCACGTGACAGAAAGTTTTTTCATTGAAATCGTCTTATTTCTGAAGCGCTGCATCAGACGTTAAAAGTTGCATATGTGCCCTGTTTACTTTTATAATATACTATATATTGTATTCAGGGCGACAAATAGAAATGATGTTTTTACTTTAATTTGAAATCACCAAGTTGTTCCTCGTTAAAGAGGCTGAGTCGGTATTGTTCTGTGCTAACAAAGACTTCCCGTATTGATTAGAGCAGTCAAAGTTCGTGGTGATTATCAGGTGGGCACTGATAATTCCATGAACAAACAAGTTGTCTCATTTTCAACTAAATAAAACAAGCAAAAGCTAACTTTTTAAAAAGCTTGGTGGGGATAATGCCAACACATACGGGCCAAGGCGCTCATAATACCTACTAAAAGTAATCGCATTCAGTATCGCTCACCTCCTGTGTCGGAGGTTTGGGTGGTGTCTATATGTCGTAGTGGTGTTCCATACCAGTTGCTATTGAGTGCCGCCGCACCATCGAATCCTACCTCATGTCATTTCTCGATTGTTCCCATAGAAGTAAAAAGGTTCCGCAAGGGGCTCAAAAGGGCGAAGAGGCCCAAGTTCGATGCTGCGAAGGTATCCGATAACGTAGAGTTCTAGTTGGTAATCCTAGTGAAACCCGTAGCCGATGTGACCGAGGCCGCCAATGTGACCGTAGCCTCCGAAGTGACCGAGGTGGCCAAATCCGTAGCCTCCGAGGGGGCCAAAGACGCCAAGATGGCCAAAGCCGCCAAGATGGCCGAAGCCTCCGTCTGCAACGGCAGGAGCAGCCGCGACGACTGGTGCGGCAGCAACGGTGGCTACCTTAGCGACCGCGGGCGCCGCCGGCACTGCGGCGACCGCCGACGTGGCGACCACGGCTGGCCCCTTGGCCGGTGCCCTGTAGGCGGCGCCAGCTGGCTTGGATGCTGCAGTGCCGGGCTCGTTTGTGCTCACCACGGCGCGGAAGCCGTGCGCGTCAGCCACGTAGGTGACCTTTCGCGTGAGGCCGTGCGCGTCCCGGTAGCTGTACGATCCCACGCGGCGGTTGTACGCGTCGGAGACTTCGTTGCGCGCCTGCGTGTTGCCTCGTCCATCAGTTGTCAGGTAGCCGAACTTGGTCGATTGAGGAGCCTGCGAGCAAAGTGAATGTTCACAAGAGAGCGATATTTGTATGGATATCGATGTGTACTCTTCACTTGGCACAGAATTAGGTTGAAAATAGACACAGAAAAAAGATGTCCTTATTCCCTTACACTACACTTTGAAATCAAAGTATTGAAAACATATTTACCAATACGTAGTGATGTTACGTGGCCTTAAGAGAACGAGATAAGAGCGAAAACGGGACACTAAATGAAGGTTCGAAGGGTACAAAGATGATGCACTTAGGGCCATTTTTTTGCATATTTTCATGAAGTATACATAAAAGACGGTCACATAATATTCCGCTTTGCACAGGTAATTAACAAGTGGGTTGACGTAATGATTTCTAAAGTTACAAGCCATATTCAAAACCCCCCAGAGGAATTTTCGAAAATAGATGACATTCTTTCTATGTGCAAGTTATATGCGCAAGATATCACTATCAGTTCACACCAGGTATGTATGGCCTATTTTAAAGACGATAGTCTTTCTTGTGGACCTGGTGGTGGTGGTGGTGGTGGTGGTGGTGGTGGAAAAACTTTATTTATTGTTCGGCAAATCAACGGCCCGGGTTCAAGTCACCCATGCTTTGATCTGTCTGTCTGTCTGCCTGCCTGCCTGCCTGTCTGTCTGTCTGTCTGTCTGTCTGTCTGTCTGTCTGTCTGTCTGTCTGTCTGTCTGTCTGTCTGTCTGTCTGTCTGTCTGTCTGTCTGTCTGTCTGTCTGTCTGTCTGTCTGTCTGTCTGTCTGTCTGTCTGTCTGTCTGTCTGTCTGTCTGTCTGTCTGCACATTTGTCTGTTTGTCCGCGGTAACGAGACTAAATGGCACCAAACAATACCCCAAACGGCCAACCCCATTCTCAGCGCCCACCATTATCGCTCAAGTTTCAGCGCTCATACTTGTACGATTGTGAATTTAAAAGTAACTATTGCGCATATCTGAGGCACCATAAAAACACGTCAATATTTTGTATGTTTCTTTATACTGGAGAAGGCGCGCATAAGTTATTCTGAGGACCGTAGCGTTTATCACGCTGCACTGACAATGCAACGCGATGCTCAAAAAGGTAACTGTTTCTAACGCTTTGCTAAGACGACACAGTGGTGGCATGGCAGCTGCCCATCGCTTTGCGTTCTTTACCTTATCGCCTCCGAGACAGGCGACTGCACGCCTTCCTTCGTTTTTGAAGATAACTGCCACATAGCGCTCGTGTCCAACGTGCCTCGATGCGCTCGTTCGCCTTCGCTGCACGAATTAAGACTCTAATGCAGCGCCTCCAGAATACAATTCACCGATTTTCTCTCGCAGAACGTCAAATAAACGTTTTGTTCACTTTCTCCAGATGCAAGACTATCGACGACATTTGCAGTGAAGCATGCAGATACGGGGCCAATTTTTTGCTAGGGGAAAAGCTCCGCTTAGTCTAACCTTGTCCAGCATCAGGCGTAACCCGCAGTATCTTACAAGCTGCGGCAGCTCAAGCTCGTCAACGTTACTAGAAGTGCTCGTCACCAGACAGACAGACAGACAGACAGACAGACAGACAGACAGACAGACAGACAGACAGACAGACAGACAGACAGACAGACAGACAGACAGGCAGGCAGGCAGGCAGGCAGGCAGGCAGGCAGGCAGGCAGGCAGGCAGGCAGGCAGGTGGACGGACGAACGGACGGACGGACACAGACAGGCAGACAGACAGACGGACGGACGGACATTTCGCCCCACTTATCATCAAACTCCGTCAATATGCTGTGATTTTTTTTCGTTTAATGGTGGGAGCCAAGCGCTCTTTATAATGGTAAAATCCTACTGCATGAACTATAGCTATATTTTTTTTCACGTGGCATGGTAGAGCGACAAAGCGACTTACAACGATGTCGACAGTAGCCACCTTAGCCGCTACAGGAGCAGTGGCTACAACAGGGGAGGCGGCAACGACGGGAGCTTTGGCTACCACTGGAGCTACGTAAGCCGCACCGTATCCGTAGCCATAGCTTCCAAGGCCTCCGAACAAGCCGAGACCTCCATAGCCACCTATGACGCCAGCCGAAGCGGCTGCTGCCGATAGGTACACCAAGAACGCCTGCAAAACAGCAATTAAAGAAAGCATGAGAAAAACTAGATGAGTTCGCACCCTAAAGCTGCCATTGGCAGACGGGATCCTCTGCCTGTTATCGCAATACTTCGCCTTCATCAAGTTACTTGAAGCATTTCGAATGTTTTCTAGTACCATTATTCCAAAAATAGAGATCAACATATGTAATATTTACTTAAGTTTAGCCGTTTGTATTGCAAAATTTAGGCATTTCAACAAAAAATATTTGTATCCTTTCTTCGTTAACTTCACGGTCAAACAAAGCTGCACAATGTCTACTTGTTAAATGACGATTGTCGCATTTTAATAAAATATAATCAAATAGAGTGCGGAAAGTCTATGCGTTGGCAAACACTGCGTGGACCATAAGCATCAGCAGCAGAAAGAAGACAAAGAAGCATATTGCTAAAAAAATGCCACTTCATTCATAGGTTGCACAGGATGTGCACACAAGACAGCTGATTGCTCCCTTTTATTGTTCGGTTATCATTGTGCTCGTCATTGTGCATCGTCCAGAGATTTAGGGTGGCATTGAAAACTATGTTAAAAAAAATTCTTCCCAAAAGAAAGGTGAAGTCAATCGGAATGATACGTATAAAATTACTTGAACTGGCTGGCCAATGGCGAAAAGCCCAGATGGTCTTACGTATTTCAATTAGGCCCTTAAAAATGGTCCCAGATGTGTCTTCTTCACTGCGACATATTTAAGGTATTTATCCTTGTAAGCCAGTAAATCATTGCAAAATATAGTATTGTTCACTTTATAAGATTGCATGAACGTTTTAATCGGTATTATCTCGCAGAATATGTTAACTTACCTATTTTATCACAGAGGATTGTATCATAAATTCCGCACTGCCTCCATTAATTCCAAGCAACGTTTGCTTTCCAATATCAGGCAGTAGAAGTTTATGATGAATATCAATGTGATGTTATGTGCACTTGCGTTACAACTATTTACCTTCTAAGTGTTAAGCATGAGATAGTGCGAACAGGTGATCATTCGAGTTAAAAAATACAAGGCATGCTTTGGAGAGCCTTTTTTTATCGCAGACAAATTTAAAAGAAGACTTTTTTATTATCACCCTTACCCTTCACAATTAAAAGCATTGTACCAAAATGAGGACGCCACAAAAATTCCGGAATCAGAGAAATACCATACACAACGCGAATGATTCGAATTTTATTAATGATTAAAGGCCAGCGTGAATGCAAATACATATAAAGCAGAAAGTACGTGTTAAAGGGTATTGAAAGTTAAATAAACGACTAAGATTGGCTCAATAGTAAAAGTGCAGCTGTGCTGTACAGTAATGATTAATCAAATGATTCTCGATAATTTTGAGTCGCGCGTAAGGAGCCACACTCATCTCCAACTTTTAATGATTTTGGTAGTGTATAACACTTGTGTAAAAAGTTTTACGTTAACTTCCTGTTTGCTGAGAGAGCGAATAAATTATTAAGAATAAACGGCTAGACAAACCTTCAAAGCGATTTTTTTTCCTCCATCCTGTTTCAAACATTTCAAAGATTATTATCACTTTATGACCTAAACCGCGATGTTGCAACTTGGTGTCTTCAGGTCAAATGAAAATACTAAAAAACCTACAAACTTCAGTAGTGAGGCACTCACTTGTGCGATCATGTCACGCGGGGTAGGTCGAGTAATCCAGCGCTTGCAGTGTCTCGAGCTACTGCTGGCGCAACCACGCGCCCCACCTTATATAAGCACGTATCGGAAAACTTCCTAATTGCCGAGGGTTAGTTTCGCCTCACTGCATTGACCAATGGGCGAGCCAATTGCGCAGTACGTACCTGAGGTCTTTAAGGGAAGATTAAAAAAAAAACTGCGAGCGACTCGCGGTCAAACGCGCCCCTCGCAAAACAAAGAAAATAATTTAGCAGGAAGAGGGGTGTGTGGTTGGGGGCCAATAGGGCTGCGGAAGACCAGTATTGCGAGCAAGGCCGCTCACGATATGGACGCACAGACTTTCACCGCTGCTCGCTAGGCGCCGATGTGTCATGGCCAGCAAGCATCATGCCCTATAAACGTATTTTCTAAGACCCCTCTTTGCACACTACCAAAGTTTTTGTTGAGACACTGCAAAAAAAAAAAAAAAAATACCACCTATCTTCCGATGCTTTTTAGTGAGGCCCACATCCTGTGCGTTTAGAACAGGTCTTCATCACTGAACGTTATGCAACGATCGGCTGCAAGTCACTTGGCTATGATAGCATCGTCTGAACAGAAATTGTGCATTGCGCATAGCGCTTAATAACGCAGCGGTGATTAATTAAAGGACAAGCTCATTGCCAGCAACGTTACAGGCCTTTGGCAATCGATAACCTGCAACGTTCCCTTCTCGCGTGGCTCCGGCATTAACTTCCGTTACTTCAAATAACAGCAGCAGGGACAGGAAACAGCAGCAGATCGTGAGGTGAGGTGCTGTCTGTTACAGTTGGGTAAGAAGTAGTGGTGCACAACGGCGATGGCCAAATAAACCCGTCGTGCCTGTATACTTTTACGCTTGCTAAATATTTACTCTTCCGCCTGTTAACATTAACAAGGTAATCGCCTAGATCTACCGCTACTGAAAATCTCAACGGTTTACGCTACTTTGGAAAAGTTTGATGTATGTGTAGGGGAGGTAGGCAGCGTAAGTGGAAAGTTATATAGTGCACTTTCTCTGCCATGAAAACCGTGTGTAGCAGAGGTATTATTCAAACAAACAAAACGCAGGAAGACAAACGAAACACACTGGAAATATTGAACGCCTCTTGAAAACGAGTGAGCGAGGTAAACGATTGTGAAATTCATGAACATTTATAAAATAGTTTACGCGAAGCGTAAACTAGCCTACAATTTTTTCTAGCTTTACAGAGTATATACGGCAGCATCAATTACAGTTATGTGCTAAGCTGTGCGCTGAAAATGCAATAAACTCTTGAGTTTCACAATGCGCATAGGCTATATAGAAAACTGCGCAGAAAAGCGACATTATTTCCTCTAAACAAGGGTGCAAATTTAGGCGTTAATAGAGAAGTCCTCAAACATGTTTTCGTGATGGAGCGTCGCGGAATTTACCCACTTTGATAGCTCAAAAAAGTTATAAAAAGTATTCTAGTCTTGAGAACATGTTCTTTTCTTAGCTGGTGGGATACTGAATCTATAGTGTGCCACTAAAAATCACGTACATAACAACCTTTCGATGATGACACACTGGCACATCGAACTCAATTTATTTCTGTCAGGAGACGAGAACAAAGATACACTTTAAATATACAACACATGCTCCTAAACCTACAAACCTAGCTGAAAGGGCAATCAACGCTCTAAAAATCTCATATCCGAAGCGTACAGTTGTAATAACGGTGCACTAATGCCCAATTCACCGAACTTCGACATGTAAAACATTTCCAAAAGTTCCCGAGCTGTTTGTTTATTGCTGCCCCACCGTGGTGGTCTAGTGGCTAAGGTACTCGGCTGCTGACCCGCAGGTCACGGGTTCGATGCCCGGCTGCGGCGGCTGCATTTCCGATGGAGGCGGAAATGTTGTAGGCCCGTGTGCTCAGATTTGGGCGCACGTTAAAGAACCCCAGGTAGTCGAAATTTCTGGAGCCCTCCACTACGGCGTCTCTCATAATCATATGGTGGTTTTGGGACGTTAAACCCCACAAATCATGTTTGTTTATTGCTTGTTCTAAGGAACTTCACGCAACCAAACGTGGTCGACATTTGCAGGTTTCGCAGTTCGTGGGCAAACGCACTAAGTAGTTTTAGGAGCGAAGCTCCTTAAGGCATGCGTCAGTACATCCTCTGAGATATGTAGTTGTAGTACTAGTAGGTAGCCAACCGCATACCAGTGGCACATAGCCGCACTCTGGCACATATCCGCATGTCCACATGTTACGAAAAACATAGCACGGCGTCATTATCAGGCTCCCGGTGTTAACAAAGCGCTGATAGCAGAAATCTAGTACATAGTCTCATAATGTACTGCCCATAATGTATCACCAACTAGCCCAACTGTCAGTCCTGCTTCACATACTCTCGTTTAGTCCTTGGATTGTCCGCTGGATGGTGGTACTTGTATATGATGAATATAAAACAAAATGAAGCGAGATGGCGGTATTTGAAGTGTTCACCATATGGACAGACGGCCGCACGGACGGACAGACAGACTAGCAGACGGACAGACAAGTACACGGACGGATGGACGGATGGACGAATGGACGCACGCACAGACGGACGCATGGGCGGATGCATGAACGGCCGCAAGTACGGACGGGCTAACGCATGGACGGAAGCATGGACTGATTTATGAACGCTTCGCCCCACTCGTCATCCTTCACTCAGTATATATGCTGTGATTTTTTTCTTATGATATAAATTTTTCTCATGTTAGCTGCTTCGCATGTTAACACAGCACCCAGTGTGTCCGACATAAGAGTTGCCAAAAGTGAGAGGGAACTTATACATAATTTCAGTCTCACTTCCGGTATGCACAGTGCCATGTCTTTTGCCAAAGTTCTGTGGTGTTGTCCCGTCAACACATGTGCGAAAGTACAGCTGACCTAGCTTAGCCGGAACTAAGAAGGGGAGTGGTGCACCGTACTTACCTGCCACCATCTTGTGGTTGTGGATAGCCTTGTGGCACTACTGGAGGTATTAAGGTCATCATTTCCGTGATGAATGTCACAGTTTGCTTCATTCCTTCGATTTCTGCAGGAGGGTCTCCGCCACAGACGTCAGTAATAAACCAGAGCAACCTGCCACTTTGAGGCGCTGCACCTGATTGCCAAATGCAAGGCGCCTCATATGAACGCTCGATTCAACCAGGGCAGATTCAAGGCATAGAATTCCGACAGTTAGTTCTAATATCTTTGCTGTGGCTGAGTCGCATGGCATCAACCGCTTCTTCGCACATTGGCAATACTGCCAGCAAACATACTTATTGCTTAAAGTCAAACTTGGGTCTCAGAATTGTGAAGTGTCCCATGGAAGTGGACGTTCGTGTTCGAAACAAAGCCTTTTATATATACGCTGTTCAGAAGACATTAAAATGTCACCGCTGCACAAGGTGACACTGCTTGCATGCGTTGAAATTAGGTCGACACCATCCTACGTCCTATAAGTCAGCTCACGTGTCTAATACACGATAAAAATCTCCGGTGGGTATTATATGCCGACCCTAAAAAAATGCACGTCCATGTCATGAAAAAATTTTTCTAAATTACTGCCTGGGCAGGACCATAGGTGTGCAGAATGATTAACCGGAATAAATACAGGTTGCTGCCGAAAGCCAGCACCCGACTTAGCCCATCACAGAAAACCTAGTGATCTTGCAAAAGAGTTTGCTTCAAAACAATGATTACACATCTTATGAAGCGAGGTGTGGTAAAGAAAAGTAAGAGCCCCATTAAAATGCGTGTTTAAATGCATAAACGTGATTAGTGGTAAAGAAGGCACAGCTTTGCCACAAAGATGAAGCAATAAATGCGAGAGCAATAAATTGGAATGTCATGCGAATCGATTGATTGATTGATTTGTAGGATTAAACTTCCCGAAACCACCATATGATTATGAGAGACGCCAAAGTGGAGGGCCGCAGAAATTTCGACAACCTGGGGTTCTTTACCGTGTCTCCAAATTTGAGCACACGGGCCTACAACATGTCCGTCTCCATCAGAAATGCAGCCGCCGCAGCCGGGATTCGATCCCGTGACCTGCGGGTCAGCAGCCGAGTACTTTAGCCACTAGACCACCGTGGCGGGGCCACGTCACACGAAGACTGGCAAGCAGAACGAAACCTGCTCCGCGTTTCTCACGCACAGATGAGGCATGAAATGTACTTTCAGGTACAGATGAACGCGAATAACTGTCTGAGTGCTTTGAATCCCGGCTACGGCGGCTGCATTTCCGATGGAGGCGGAAATGGTGTAGGCCCGTGTGCTCAGATTTGGGCGCACGTTAAAAAAAACCAGGTGGTCGAAATTTCCGGAGCCCTCCACTCTCACAATGATATGGTCTCTCATAATCATATGGTGGTTTTGGGACGTTAAACCCCACATATCATAATCAATAACTGTCTGAGTTGTTACTTCGCTGTGCCTGAAAAGCGTGTTCTTTTCGCAAACGGAGACTGTGCAGCGAGTGCAGTGACCTTTGTGCCCCCAGTAACTACAACAGAATTGTTGCGGTGAAAGCCCAAGGCGTACGATTCTCCACACCGCGAAAAAAACCCGCGCACGTGTGAGCGTCTTCCCCCCCCCCCCCTCTCTGCGGGGAGATAAACGAGTTGGAGATAATTGCGCCAGCGTGCGGCGCCGCGTCTTGCCGATCTCGCGACGCGCACTCTTTGCGCCATCTCGCTGGTAATGCCGAAAACACAATCGTTCCCATTAGGTCACCACTACCAGCGGTAAATGGTAGATATAAAAAACGCCATGCCTGCGCGGAAGCCGCAGCACAGTCACAGCGAAAGCTGGAAGGGCGGCCCCTCAGAGCCTTTTCTAAACACTCATTGTGCAACTGCTGCAAACACACCTGCTGGGTACCCCCTACAGCATTAATAAAGGCAAAGCATTTCTTAGCAAACTTCGGCAATTATAAGGGTATCTATCTATCTATCTATCTATCTATCTATCTATCTATCTATCTATCTATCTATCTATCTATCTATCTATCTATCTATCTATCTATC